TCTGCCTTGTTGTCCTGTCTCTAAGTGGCTACTCATTGTCAGTCAAGGCAAGATCACAGTGACAATGGAGATGAGTGTTTGCCCTTGTGTTGAAGTCCTGTTGTCTTTGCAGACCTCTGTATTCCCTCTTTGCCTTAAATGACCAAAGGAGAAGCACATGGGACCAGTGCATTACTCATATACGCCAAGCAGAGACAACATAAGTCCACAGTCACAGGTCATACTCTTGACTCTATCCATAAGTATGTATATATGCTGTACATTTATGTATTTCACAAGTTTATAAAAAAATATATAAATTTTACTACCATGTCAGTATGTTTCCAAACCTGCCATTCTGTATTTATTAAAAGAAACATTTCACTGTAGTCCAACATTTATAAAAATGTACCAAGTCTCAAGAAATACAAAAGATATCCAAAACACAGTGTTTGGCTTATTTTTCAGTAGTTTTAAGATACAAGATTTGAATTACAGGTCCAATAAAACCTCGTGACATTTTATGCAAGAATTTAAGCGTCTTATCTCTCAGAGGCTTACAGAAAATGCAGCTTTTCACTTATAACCTGAGCAGATGTCATTTTCAAATGTGAATAAACCCCAATGTAAACTAAAGCCAACTGAGGTGTCAAATGAAAGAGAAGAGATGTAAAAGCTTACTAGACCCAGAGAGCAGTTGTAGATCTAGAAAATTTGGGATGGTATGGCCAGTCTGAGGCACAGACTCAGGAGGGGGTGGCATGTAAATTAAATCCATAATTCTATAAAATAATAAATCATATTATTAAGAATCAAATTGTTTATTTTGTGTATAAATAAGACACACACACACGGTACTTTCTTTAAATAATTTTGTCTTACGCAGCATTGGGTGCCTCCATTGTTTGATACATCTGATACATCTATCAAAAATAAATAGAAATTTAAAAAAAAACTGAATCATGGACCACTTCAGGGGAGAAACAAGGAGAAATAAAATGCTCACTACTTAGTGAAAATTTTACAGTTGTTTCTAGTTTCATAACCAACTTGCAGTTCATATGCCAATGTGTGAGAAAGAGGCTGAATGTGCTGTCTGGAGGTTTCGCTCCAGTAGCTCCATGTTATAACTTATAACAAGTTTAGTTAAAAGGCATTCATTTGGTTATAATGGTTGTAACAAGGGAATTGAATATGGAAATAAAACTCTCCACAGAAATCCACTTTCAGATGTTGAGAAAGGCAAATCTATATTTAATACAATGTTCTAATGAAGCTAGTGACATTAATGAAGGTTACTAGGTTACTGACTTATAAAATGGGTTTTGTTGTACCTGACATTTCACACATCTCTCTGGTGATTTAAAGTGAGCAGGAGCAACAAGAGCAGCCTTGAATAGAGGAAAAACATCACTAAGGCAACCTCACAGAACAAACTGCAGCAACTGTGTGCACCATGCGACCCACTGATCAAATGATGAAAAGAGACAGGTTGAAAGAACAATTTTCAGAGTCTACACGTATATTAGAGAAAGTGTCACCTAATTTAGTAATGTTGTACATTACTAAATGTAAAACATTACATTTGTGTTCGTTGAATATTCAGCAAAGGCCAACAATTCTGATACACTCTTATACACACAACTTGTTACTGGACACAGAACACGGGCAAAGTCTGAAGCCCAATATACACTAACTATATAATAAAAATAAGTAAACAAACTGCATAAAACAATCTATATGGTAGATGAGTGAAATGCATGTTAAGTCTTGCATTACAGCCATTTAATTATGCATAACCATTAAAATACACTAAAATCCATTCTGTGCTTTTTTCCCAAAGCTGACTTCAAGGTGAATCGATCCTTAAAATCCTCCAATACCACCAGCATGCTTTATCTCACCCCTTTACACTGCGCTTGTTACAGTGCGTCTATTAAAGACCTATTATCCCACTGCTAATGGTCATGATAAGGCCACTTGCACAGCCTGTGTAGTCTCTGAATGTCACCATTTGGCCAACCAGTCACCAACAGAGGGACAGGATGGGGGTGGGGGGTGGGCTAAAGGGGATAGCAACAATTAGGAAAGCAGGCTCAATCTGGCAGAAGGTGCACAGTAGTGGGTGGAATGCAGTGAGAGGTCTGGGTCAACTTGACAATAAATGGACAAATGGGAGAGAAAATGGAGAAAGAGGAAAGTAGGACATGAAGGCTAAAAAGAAAAAAGAAAACTTAAATCTCTTGTATTGTGGCAATGCCCTTGACTTTTAATTAAATTCTAACCAGTGGCAACTTGTAGAGAGCTGTGCTATAGCTACCTAGCAGGTGGGTATGTGGTTAGTAATGCAACTGAATCTTTAAATGGCACTGATGCGTTTATGGGCAGCGTTTCCTTCCACATTGGGCAGGATTAACAGAAGCAACAGCATGATGGCCTTATTACAAACAAAGAAACCCAATCTGTTGGAGTCTCTGCAATTATAAGCCGGTAGGCTAACAACTTTCTTTGTCCTTTAAAAGTGCTCCTGCTTTCATTCCTTATTAAAATGAAAGTAGCCAGACATAATCTAAACATGGGCAAAATTGGCATGAATTGTCACTGATACTCAATGACCAAGCTGTTTGCACAGCTGCAAAACAAAAGATAATGCAGCAGCCACTAGCAGACTTTTTATGCCTTTTATGAAATAAAATAACCTACTATTGCAGCAGCTGGATCTTGCAAAAAAACAACAAAACAATCTGCACTCACAGTGGAACATCAGATTTTTTTTGCTCCCCCTAGACAGCATTAACTTTCTGTTTGGTGGTTGTGATGACTGGTGGTTGGGCTCTCAGTGTCAATGTACCAGTTGAAGCAGGTTATCCCCGCACCTCACGCCCCCAAACACCGGGGGCAGGATTAAACAATTTGTTGCTTTGCACACCAGAACGAAGGGAAGATGACAAATTACACCAGGACAAGCCAGAAAAATGAGAGATGTGTTTTACAGACATCGTGGTTGACTTTTTCAAGAGAAAAGACTTAAGGGTGGTTACTAAGTGGATGGTTCAGCATATAAACATCCAGCTTCATTGAAATGTAGCGCACAGCCATGTCCCGAATGTATCTACGAGAGGTATCCAGGACTATCTCTGTCCTATACAGGTCCAGTATTGCCTCTGTCCAGCAGTACTGACTGACTGACCGCATTTAGTCTGTTTTTTTTCCCGTCCCTGTGAATTAATGTAAACATTAGCATTGTAAACATTTTTTCTACGGGTTACACATCAATTTTTGCAGGTGCCCACTGTGCTCTCAATTGAAATGCTGCTCTAAAGGTTGGCAACAGCGCATCCGCTATGTCAGTTTTAAATTCTGCGACCTGAACGCAGTTATACTTTCGAAATAACCATATTACTCCCGGTAGACTCCGTAACAGTCCCACAACGGTATCGAGACATTTTTCTATCGTGATATTGCAAAATCACAAATATCATTACATCCATAATATATAATGAGATATAAATATGGTAAATATATTTACCAGGCTCAACTTCAAGGGCAAAAACAGCAGTTGTTTTTGTCAATGAAGAATTTATTTTAAATAATTTCATTCATTTACAGATGAATATTCTTTGTATTCCATACAAAATTAACTATCTAAATTGTGTTAAACAGTGAGGCCTTTTGCATTTCTTGAACTTTGCACTAATGCTGTGTATTATCAAACTGCTCATATAGGCTCATTGGATGTTTCAGAATTAGTCTAGATCCAACAATATCAATATTAGTCCAAGTAGTGTCTTGGACTGACCACCAAATTTATAGTGTTAGTAGGTGGAATAAAGTTGTTTTTTTAAACACATTTGCCCATGAATTTAAAGAACAAAAGCTAGTTCCGGGTCTCACAGCTTAGCCTTGCCTAGGGAAACTTGGAGCTTAAGCAGTTTCCTAACCAAGGCTGCATCCCCGGTGAACTTTAGCTTCCCTTCGAAGAATGCCTGAGAAGAAGAGAAAAAAGAAATGTCAACACTTATCATCAACTGAGATGCATCTCTATTACACTAAAAATCTGGAGCACAAATCTAATGACATAGTGGAGAAAATGCTACGAGTTACACTATTAAGTAAAACACTAAATTATTTGTTGTGTTCAGTGAAAACTCCTCTGTGGCAGGATAAGACGTTAACTGACCAATCATAGGTCACGTACCTCTGCAGCCGGTGGCAGACAACAATACAGAGCGATGAGCGGTGCCTCTGCACAAACTGGACTGAACACAGCTCATTTCCTTGAACGTCCCTGATGTTTATTTTATTCTATACCAGCATCTCAGATTTTTTTTTTTTTTTTTTTTAAGAAAAAGGTCACAAGCATGAAACTAGCACAAGCTAGTTCTACAGTATTGTTCCTGTTGTCGCTAGAAGCATGTTAGCATCTGACTGTGTGGCTTTAAGTGGGTTGTTTGACCCTCTGCAGTGCCTGTCCTGCCAATGGCTCCAAAGCTAGGGGCCTCTACAGTTTCAGGGCAGGAAATAAACTGATTCACCTTTGCTACAGAGCTGCTGCCAACAAAATGAAATGGTCTAAAGTAATGTACCTGACCAGAACAGTCCCGGACAATTAAATCAAAGACTGAAAAACTAAAAGAAAAACTGTTATAATATCCTCTAACAACAAATAAGGTTGGGCAATACATCATTTAAAGATAGCTGTAACATAAAAACAATTATGATTTGTTCATTTAGCATCATTTACCTTTAACAGCTGTCTGTTAGAGGGTGTATATAAAGTTTTACTTTGCCTTTAAAAACTTTACAGCATCTCAATTTCAGAATATGAAACGTCTGAACAGCACTCTAATTCATTCTTTATATTCACACTGCACACACGTTTCAGACAGACAGCCTTCTTCAGCATGCACATGAGCAACAACACTACACCTAAGCACAGTTCAGTGCCCTTAACACAGAAGAGCTGTGACACTGAGGGGTCTAAACCAACAGCGGGTCACATGACTCATGTAGCTTCAAATAGTTCCAGTCAATTCAGATCTGTTGTTTTCTGTAGGCAACAGTGGGATCTATCAGCAAATGACAACTTGTAATAACTTGTACAGCCTTTCACACCAATGTTCTGTTGTTGTAGATAGCTTATAATAATAATTGTATTTAGGAAGAAATAAATGTGCAGTGTGTGTGTGTGTGTGTGTGTGTGTGTGTGTGTGTGTGTGTGTGTGTGTATTACAGGAAAAAACATAAAATAGTAAACTATAGTATTTTTTTTTAACAGGAACAAAAAGAAAAAAAAAGCAATTTTTGCCAAACATTTTGTTAATGTGTAAAGCAGGAAAACAAAGATAAGGTTAATTGCACATACTGTTTGTGGGTTCAGTTTTCCTGTCATCATATCCAGAAGATCCTCATCACTCATGAATAAAGTGCAGTCTGCCTTTATGCCTAAACAAAATCAAACACATCAAGAGGAAACAAAGAGGAACTTGTTTGTTGCAGGCAAGCACCATTCAGAAGAACATCAGCTTACCATCATAATTAGCCTCGATGAACCCCGTCACCCACAAAGAATCAAATTCATTTCCTGGAAACTTAACCAAACCGGAACCCTAACACATAGTACCTAACCCTAAACCGAGATGTCACTCTAAAATTCAGTCATGTGAGTGTGTAGGTTTTGGTCTCCACAGTGCAAGTAATACTGTACCAGGCATGAACACACACAGAGAACAAAGAATTGAAAAACTCACCCACCTATGAGCTAAGTGAACACTCCTTAATCATACATGTCAGGCGTATTCAACTGATTATGAGCCAGGTACCACCAACGTGACTACGAAGCAACCTGGTCAGGCGTCTTCAACTGATTATGAGCCAGGGACCACCAACGTGACTACGAAGCAACCTGAGTACCATTGTCTGGTGGGTAGGCCGGATGAGCACTATTTTAATCCTTTAAGTCACCTGGGCTTTTTTTTTAACTTTTCTTTATTTGCATAAAAACTATACACACAGGAATGTGTTTAAAAAGATAAAAAAAATAAATTGCGATTCCATAGGGAAATACATTATTGATTGCATGGTCAGTGAACACACTGGTTGAAAACACCTGATGCATGAATAATGGCTTAGGTCAATGTTGACAAACCACACATCCTTGTGAAAGTATATAAATAAATTACGTAACTGTTAGACAAATAAAATGTTCAGTCAAATGAGTAACAACTGGACCAAATTGCCCCACAGGACACAGCATCCTTGTGATTGGTCAGAATTGAAGTTCTGGGCCTTCAGGCCACATAAAACAAACAAACAAACAAAAACAAATCCATCAGGATTTTGTTTATTTGGAATAAACTCTGCAAGATAAGAGGAGGGCTCCCAGGATGCGTGCATGTATTCCACAAACACCCAATCAGCGTGTTTAAACCCTAGTGCTTTCACAACTGATAACTTTTGCAATTCACAGACAGGATGCTGTGCTACTGATTTCACTCCCTGCTTGTAGGAATAACAGTCCTTTCATCTGTCTTTTGGTCTTTCATACCATTTACAACTGCTACTCGTTTTTTCCCCACTCACCACAGCCTTATATTTTCATTCCCCCCTTTTCTTTTATCTTTGTTTTAGTTTACTGGTTGTATTATTAGTAAAAAGAAAAAGTGTGTATATGCATCTAAAATTGAGCTTATTCGTGCTTTCATGTACTTGCACCTTTGTACTACCATCCAAACAATATATTAGATTATAAAGAGACTTGGTTTCAAAAAGTCATAATTCAGAATAATAACAATCATGACTCCAGTTCAGCAACAACAACCCCTATTATTTTCCCTTCTCTGCTACGAGTTACCTCGCTGGATGAATAAATCCATATCTGGGTTGTGTACGGTCTTATTTTTTATAAATAAATCCCCCCTGAATCATTTCAGTATCACAAATTCCTACATTCCTGTGGTTACCTGAACATGTTTACACTGTTTAATGAATAGGAGAAATACTCATATGCACCCATTAGCCCGTTAAAGCAGGATACAAGTTTTTCCCATTATCATTAAAAAAAAAACAGGCAGCATTTCTGCCTCGACCATAATAATGACATGTCAACATGCTTAAGGCATCAGACAGGGAAATCAGATTTTAAAAACGTTTTGTTTTCCAATGTGCAATACAAGTTTTAAAAATCTGCAGATTAATTACAGAGATGTAGATGAAACACTATATAGTTCATAGTGTAAGGACTGTACTGACCTTTATGTCAGATATAGGATTCCCCCCCCCACACTGCGTCGTCCTCCGCTCTTGTTACGAACAACGAGAAAAGTGAGAAAGGTTTTGGTGTGTCAGCGCTCCAAAGATCCATTTATCTTCTGTGACCATTAGACACAGAAGTGGTGCATCTGTTCTTCTGCATATAGTTGAGTGTTTTTCTGACATTTTTTGTGGCCTATGAAGATATTTAAATATGCAGGTACAGCAGGTTTGCAGCCCATTTAGATCTGGAAACAGACTGTCCTCACCTTTCTCTCGCTGTACCTAGCCATAAATAAGAACAGCCTGTTTTGGTGTATATATGCTAAGAAAAAAAATATATTTTTTAAACATTTACAAGTGTATTTCACACTTCAGAGAGGCAAGCTACTCTGGCAAATACAGACTGTAATATGAAGATAATGAGGAAAGAGCTGAACATGTAGCTGCACACTGAATGTGCCAAATTGAGTAAATCCTCATTAATTCATCTTTATATTTGTAAGAGGATGATCATATTATTTCTTCTTCCAAATGTGGCCCAGCCTCACTTGAACATCTCCATCGAGCCATCCATTTTCTATACTGCTTATCCTGAAGAGGGTTGTGGGGGGGGGCTGGGACCAACCCCAGCTGACATTGGGGGAGAGGCGGGGTACAAGGTCGCCAGTCTAACTTGAACATCGCTTACTTCCCAAATACAAACGTAGTCCTGTCATAACATTTTGCACGAATACCTAGATGTTTTTATAAAACTTTTCATAGAGCATCAAGATTTTCCTGAACATTTAGTCTGATGGAGGTACAGTGGTGACCTCAGAAATAATGGCTTGGACCAAGTGAACATCACTGGGGGAGTGAGCATAATGGAGACAGCCAGGTGGCCAGTATATGTGTGTGTACCTGTATCTTTGTTGGGGCCCTCATTGACATAATGCCTAACCTTACTAACCTTAACCATCAGAACTAAATGCCTAACCATAACAGTTACCATAAGCCTAATCTAAACCCAATTCTACAGTAAGTTGGACCCTAAAACCAAGTCTTAACCTTTAAAAAGGTGTATTAGAAAGTGAGGACCGGCCAAAATGTCCTGACTTTCGACAAATGTCCTCACTCTGTAGCAAAATGGAACACACATGTGTGTGTCTGTGTGTGTGTGTGAGAGAGAGAGAGAGAGAGAGAGAGAGAGAGAGAGAGAGAGAGAGAGAGAGAGTGTGTGTGTGTAAAGGCCACAGTCCTATAAAGACAGAACACAACATTTTCAATATGGCTTCTGTTTCTGACATAAACAAATGAAAACAGACTGTGCTTTTAGAAAGAGTATGCGTGTGTGTGTGTGTGCGTGTGCATGTGTGCGTACAGTATGTTGCTCACAAATTGCGAGTTGTCCTAGTTTGTTTTGATGTCCAGTGCCACAGGAATCCATTAAATGAGCCATTTAAAAGTAGAGGACTTAAAGTACTACTTTTTTAGGCTGCACATTTCTCTGTAATAACTGCATCCATTTGATGGGCTCTTGCTTTCAGAAGCAATTTCAAGTTTTTCCCCAATAGTGAGTCAATAATGTAACTATTGTTGAAGTTTTAACCCTTACTGCTTTAATTTAGCATATATACAGAGCAGCCATAACATTATGACCACTGACAGGCAAAGTGAATAACACTATCTGTTACAATGGCACCTGTCAGTGTGTGGGGTATATTAGCAAGTAAACATTCACTCCTTGAAGTTGACATGTTGGAAGCACGAAAAATGGATAAGTGAGTGACTTTGACAAGGGCCAAACTGTGATGCTGACGACTGGGTCAGAGCATCTCCCAGACTGCAGATCTTGGTGGGTGTTCTTGGTCTGTTAGTACCTACCAACAGTGTCTAAGGAAGGACAAATGGTGAACTGACGCCATGGACACCCATGGCTCACTGATGATGAGGTTGTCCTACTGTAAATAAAACTTTTAACTTCCATTCAAACATTACTAAGATTCCATTTGAATCTTTGCTAAAATGATTGAAAATGACAAATACTGTACATTGGTGGTGAGATATGCTTGAATCTTAAAATAATAAAATGAGAAAGGCCTGTAAACAATTTTGAAACACACAAATGATAATCCAGTTTTGCCAAACCTTCGCAAATTTGTCTAACTGCTGCTCATGAAGTACAGTATATTATTCTTTCCATTATAAAATTTTCAGTTGATAATATCAATCCAGTCATCAATTGTAGGGGATTTTACTAGTGCACTGAAAATCTTGAAAAGCTATTCAATCTGTAAAAAAGAAAGCCACATGAGGTGCTTTCTCTACATAATATTCAAAAGGGGCCCCTTCTGTTGCATGTACTGCTCATTGCAGTTGTTTAAAAAAATGATTAAAATATCACATTGTTGAAAGGAAAAAGAATTATTAGGCCTTGACAGCAGAATTAAACCCTTCTGCTCAAGTACCTGTACATACCTGGGTCAGTGGTGACAGAACCTTTGCCATTTTTTAAGTCAATGACCCAAGTCCTCTCTTTCCCATTTGGTCCATCCTTCACTTTAAGCAAAAACACTCCATCGATCTTCTTGACGAGCTGCTCTCCTTCCTGCAGGGAGTCAAGAAGAAAAATAATCCTTGACATGTAATGGCAGTAGGAAAGCAGTAATTCAAACTCAATACCAAAGCCATCCATAGATGCAAAGAGACCGACTAGAACTTGGAGACAGATGATTTTGTGAGTAAGATCAGAACCAGTCAACATAAAACTATAACTTGATTATACTCAATGCAATGCAGTTTCAGGCTTATTCTTTGTTGCACTGCATGCTGGGATTATTGGCAATGTTGAAAAATGCAGTCAAACTGAAATCCACATCCCATTCAGCTAAGTAGGCAAAACAATTGCGCCTCTTTCTCCTCGTGGTGTTCAGCTGCAAAAAAGCGAGTATCCAATTTTCAGCCAATGAGAGAAGGACTGACTCTTATTCAGGAAATACATCAGGAAATGTATGCTTTTTTCCCCAACTGCATGAAGAGACAGGTTTAATAATACATCTCAACCTGTGGGCTGACTAGCTATACAGCCTATTGTATACAGTCCTGTTAATATTATTGACCTGTCTACATTTCACCATCGCATGAGTAAATTTTATCTTACCAGTTCTGCTCTGACCACACCTCAGTGTGGAATGATAACCTGACCATTATCTTCCACTAACCACACAAACCCCACCTTTAAAATCACCCTATTTTAAAGAAAAAATAAATCACATTTTGTCACATTTCAGTGGCAAAGTGTGACCATCCAGCCACCAATCAAGCTGAAGTTTCCTGCAGCTGTTCGGAGCAACTGATTCTAATTACCCACCAGAAGGCAGCACAGCTACAACATTACACTTGCAGCACAGGGAGCGTGCAAGCTCACATGCATTAGTGAGTAAAATCAAAACCATTACAAATATATACACTCCACATAATCATACAGCACTATGGACACTCCCATTACTTCCATTACTGTAAAGTGGCTGATATAACTACTGTGTTTTCCATTAATACATTACAACAGACATCATGCCACATGATAAGCAGTCATTTCCGCAGACACATGTAATAAAAAAAACATCCATTTACATACATCTAGCATACACTGTCAGTGCTGAACTAACATGCTTTGTGTGTTTTCACCTCCAAAGTATATTAAAAATGTTTAAATGTGCTCTGCAAATGAAGTTCTTATTTTTGGCAACAGTACATTCTGTACCGTTATATGTTTACAACAGTGAGTTCTCACTAGCTATGGCGTTCAGTATCACCATTATGCTTCATAATGGCAAGAAGAAAAACTGTGTGTGCTGCACAGCCCTGAAAATACAGAGCTGAGACTGTGCTTTCATGGTCCAAGGCTTCGGTCCAAGGCTTCCACTTATGTTGTGGATTAAAGCAACTAAAAACCCTAAATTGCCCACTTTCTTTGAAAAGAAAAGACGGAAGACTCCCAGCCACCTGTACTTTTATTTGATGGGTCCATTTAGGAAATGAACTTTTGCTAACATCTGAACAATCAGTGGCCTGACAGAAAGAAATGGGAACAGAGGTAATCTAAGGTAGGGAATTTGCTTCAAAAATGTGAATTCCATGATGTCAAACAGAAAATAATGAACCAAGATTAAAGTGTGAGTGGAGCGGCATACTGTTATACCTGCTGTAGACGTTTTTCGACCTCTTTGAAGACAGGATAGGATTGTAACCCTTCCAGTCCACTGCTTGAGCTGGTGAGAACAGTACCTACCCGTGGCCTGCCGGAAGCAGAAAAGAATAATTAGATACAAAGTACACATTGTATCAGAAATGGACTTAAGAATGCTGAGGTTTCAGATTGATTCAGTCGCGCACAAGGCCAACGTTACGGTACACAATAGGAGCAGAAGATAAGACAATGTACTGTGTCTGCAGCACAAAGGGGAATAGTGGAAAACATGATATTCAGCTGTGGCTCAGCAAATAACCCCAAACACTGCTGTGAGGGCAAAAACAAAAAAAAAAACCTCAGTGTTGTCTTATGTTGTTTTTAACTTTTTTTTATATGGTGGCAGAACAAATTTCTCTTCAGCAGTGAAATGCCATTCCCATGCTCTACTCTGCTGATGTATTAGCTAACAGGTGGTTACAACATTTCATGCTAAATAAAGTATCTAACTGAACTAAAAACAAACCATGGGCAATGTCTCTTTTACCGGGCCTGCTGTGGGAACCCCATCCTGTAGAGAGTGACAACCACAGCTCCTCCTAAGCCAATGTTGTGCTGCAAGGCCACTTTTGCCCCTGGGACCTGTCTCTTGCCTGCCTGCCCTCGAAGCTGCCAGCACAGCTCAGCACACTGGGCCAGACCTGAGAGAGCAGCAGGAAGAAGAGAGGGACAGAAGGTAGACTGGACTAAATGATTTAATGCTGAGCAGTGAACACACACACACACACACACACACACACACACGTAAAGAGACCCAGTTGATACTATCATCAGACTTTTTAAGGTCCTGGTATATTATGTTTTAACATGTGATGATTCAGACTTTGAAATGTACTTCCTGGAAAAAAACATATTGTGGGAAAAGCAGCCCAAAAAAGTTACTACAACAAAACAGAGGACAATTTTTTTAAGGTGTATTTGTAGCACAGAACAAAAAGCTTCCCAGTTCTTCTTTTAATAAAACACATGGTTGTTTTGAGACCAATTACATTTTTTGACCAAGCACCAATGAGCTGTATACACATTTTTACTGATATTTATCATCTTTTAGCTCTGTTTTTGGTCTCCACCAGCTCACATGGGAAATGTTTGTTTATTTGGCCACTAAATACTCCACTACGTTCACCAACTAGTTGCTAATTTTCTATATCTTTTGTTCAGTGCTGGACAGGTAGCATACACTGGGGTTTGTCAGATCTTTTTTTCTGCCCTCTGCCTTGAGAAGCAACACTGATGTGTGTGAAAACAGCTGTGGGTCAATTTGATGGACACTACAAGGCTAAGTGCAGAGTAAGGTCAGAAATCTCAACAGGTTTGTCATCACAAGCAACACCTTCCACATTACACGTATCGACTATCGTTTTTCTTTCCAAGTGGTGACAGTGAAGAGAAACGGGGGGAAGGGGGGGGACACAAAGAGTAGTGAAAGATGTGAAACATGTCTAAGCATAGAAACTGATTCTACAACAGCACTCTGAAGTCAAAGTTCACTTACTAGTGTTTCCAAGTGAAACCGAACCACATATACAGCCATACAGATACTCAAGAAAAAAAGCTGTTCACAATCTGATGTGGAAGAGGCCATAGTGAGGATATGAATTCAGCCACCTTTAAACACAAGGTCAAGAACTTTAGCTATTTCAATAAAAAGCAATGGAGAAAGTGTTACTTGGATCAGACAGCAATGTGACACAAAGGAAGTGCTTTTATCCATTTATTTAAATTTTTGTTATTTCATTTCAGTTTTTTCCCCAAAACTCAATTTCTTTTTATTTTCTTTCTTCATTTTATTTTCATCATTAGTTACTTGTCTGTTTGTGGGGGTTCATTGGTATTTGCTACATACATTTTTAATAAAATCTACACATAATGTATGTTTTCATGAATGCTTTGTGTGACACATTCATATACAGATTGCAGGTGTAATGAGGAATGTAACTGAAACCTGTACTCTGTTTACTTCTGTGTGCGTGTCTTGACTTCTTGTGGCCTTCATTCATTTTTTTATATCCGTTTCCAAAACTATGTGGACTTTTTGCTGCACTTTGTCTACTGTGTGACAAAGACTGAAAATAAAAATGCATTTAACAAATATTAAAGCAACTCTATCCAAGTTTTTTTCAGCTGCTAAAGGGTCTAGTGAGACCCAAAACAAATGGTCACCAAAAATTGCTACTAACCACTCCTTTCCCATCACTCCCCGTTTCCTAAAGCTATAGTGTAAAGACGCCTGGTTCTGACAAACTGTACAAAAAGCAGCCTGCAGTCTGAAGCTAGACTTATCTGGCTAAAAAGTAAATTTATCAATCCAGTAACCATTCTGGTTATTGCTACTGTGGCACAACGCTCGCATTAGTCTGAAATTAAAATCACATTAATTCAATACAAAGGTAAAATCATGACCATGCTAGGTCGCTAATATTACCAAACCAAACACATTAGCTTTAAATGTTAGCATCCTGAAAGAAGAACACCAAATGTGATTACAATCCGAGTCCTTTGGCTGTTTTTAACTTTCTCCATCTCAAAAAGCCAAACTGATGTTAACCCTGGGTCTTACTCTTTGTCCCACTCTGCAACTGAATGAGACCTCTTCAATCTGGCAGCTACCATTTTGGATTTTAGCAGACAAGAGCGCCTCCATGGCTGGCTATTTGAAATATGCACTTCTTCCACTTTTTGAGGTTCAAGTGGATGGAAATGAACTCGGAAACCCGGTGAGGGGCAAGCAGCTCATCTCAAAACAATTCCAACATAACATACAGTTTACATGTTTATACAAGTACACCGATGAGAGTTTGGTGTTGTAATTTCAATATATCTACAAAGAAACCGCAGTAATCAGAACAGAAAATTTAATTCAGGCAGACCTCTGGCCTACATTTTGTGTTGCAGTCGATACCCCATTAAAAGCCAACAAAAGCTCACTAAAAGAAACACACTGGGTATGGCTAAAATCACATCATATGCCCCAGTGTCCAGGTGAAGCCACTAAGAGGGGTGAGAAGTTGACTCCTAATCTGAGAACTCGCTCCCTAATCTTGCCCTGGGTCAGCTCCTGCACTAGCATTATTGCTAAGCGTTTCATCCCATCTGCTTAACGAGCTTTTGTATTTCTCCATTATCCCAATATGCTAAAGGACCTAAGGGTAAATGCTTCTTTATATTTCGTCTTTCACGTTCTCCTAATCTTCTACAGAGGGACTTGTTTGTGTGAGAGTGGTTTAGTCTGAATGCCAATTGGAAACTGTAAATGTATAAACTGCCAACAGGCAATTTATCAAAATATAGAGCAAATGAAGAATAAAGAGAGAATGGCTCACAGTGATGTACAGCACTCATTCCAGTAAATTCTTCTAAAGATAGCAGATTATAAATGCTCCATTTTGGTGTACGAGAATGATCAAAGGCCTTTTCAGCCTTCATTTCTGAAGAGTAAAAACATGATGCAATTCACTACATACGTCAACCAGCAAACAAGCAAGGCTTCAGTGAAGCTGGATGTTATGTCGACACATAAAAATGGCATACTCCTGTGGGGGCTCACAGTACCACATGGGGAGGTCCGCGAGTTCGTCAGCCAACTGGCCGACAATAGCTGTGCTCACAGTGTTCCCGAGAGAAGAGGTCAGAGAAACACCATAGATCAGACAGAGCTTAGCTGCCTGGGGCACTCGCACTAGGTGACCCAGAGGGTCAGTGAGACACAGCCAGCATGATGACATGAATGGGGAAAGTTCTTGCAAAATCAACAAGGTAGAGGGAGTGATGGTTCAGACTGTTGGGTATGGAGAAAGGAAAACCAAGAAGGCAAAGAAAGAGAGAAAGAAATAGACACATTATAGATGATTAAGAAACAAAGAAAAATCAGAATGTGACCTATCTGATCCAAAATTCTGTTTTCTTTTGTTATCTTTCACAAATTGGTGTGTGTATGTTGGAGTGGGCATGAACCCACATGACATGAAAAATACTGGATCTGAGAGGAAGAAGATGAGAGGCCCTATACTGCGGAGGTTGGGTGAGTCAGCAGCCCTGTTTGCTCAGTCTCATCTCTCAACAAGTTTAATATGTGGAGAGGGAACTTTGCACAGCCTGCTGCCTTCTCACGTGTAGACTTAGGATCTCTTTTACCCAGCTGGGATCCAGGTGGCCATCATTGAGCAACAAGTGCCCCCTGGTGGCCACTGTAGAAATCTCTTGAATCCATACAGAAGGGCAACTTGGAAAAATATGAGCTTCTTTATATCAGGCGTGTTCAATTAAAATTCTAGGAGGTCCAGTCAGTTAACACCTAGCCGAGGTGCAGACTATTTACACGTCAACATTTTTACAGTGCTTTCAACAAAAGGTTTTTCTCCCTTTTTTCCCCTCTTATAAATTAAGAAATCTTAACAATCACTCTCTCCCAAAAGTCTTTTCTCTTCAGTCCTCTGAGTCTGGTTCTTCCCTTTTTAGCAAGCATGAATGTTTACACATATGGGTGCTTTATTTATTTTTTTGGAAATCAGGTATAACTGATACTAACTAACTGAACCGTTTAGTTGTTCCAAAGTGCAGGACAAAGACCTTTGGTGAGGCAGCTTTTAAACTGGAGAAACAGTCAGAGGAACTGAGAGCTGCTCAAAGTGTTGTTTTCTTTGTCTGTTCTCTCTTTGGTTTGGCTTTTTACTGTCGTTCAGTATTATCTTCATCATCATCATCATCATTATTCATTTTTAAATATTTTGTTGTTATATATTATCTAGTTTTGTTTCAATTCCATTTTATTGAGTTTTATTATATTGTATTTGAAAAATCATCATTCTCCTTTCATCCCTTATTGCCTTATTCTTACCTGTAAAGGACTCTGAATTGGAGGGACTCGTATGCAAGGTGTTATATACATATAGCTTGAATGACTGATTATGAAAGATCTAGTAGGATTTTAGCAGCTATATTAAAAGGGTTCCTGTATATATACAGTGCCTTGCGAAAGTATTCGGCCCCCTTGAACTTTGCGACCTTTTGCCACATTTCAGGCTTCAAACATAAAGATATAAAACTGTAATTTTTTTGTGAAGAATCAACAACAAGTGGGACACAATCATGAAGTGGAACGAAATTTATTGGATATTTCAAACTTTTTTAACAAATAAAAAACTGAAAAATTGGGCGTGCAAAATTATTCAAATCCACATAAGGGATGACGGCAACATTCATAGATCCTGGAATGCACAATGAGGGGCAATGTTCATTCCTATTACAGAGGCCCACTGAAATTTTTTTGAGGAAAAGCTGTGTTAGACTGCATATTGTTTATAGTAAAGTATTTTTATATACAAATATAAAAATGAAAATGTTTCTGGAGTGGGACTTTAATTAATTATAGAAGTTGTGCAGAAGCTGCCCATAGCTCTACACAGTGATCCATGTGTGTACTGTATGTGTTTCTATGCTGCTCCAAATGAGTCTGTTCTGGTTCAACTTGTCTTATTAAATGAGCTTAAAAATAAAGTGACACCTTAGTTATAAAACACTGAGCAGGCTGTAACACACAAGAGTGTGT